GTCGTGGATGTCTCCTTTCTTGTATAGTAGTACAGTCTTGCTGCTTTTCCATTAGAATAGAACCTTGCATTCAGACAGGTAGTGTGTGAAGAGCCATGCCAGTGTATTGATGAGTACCGATGGCAGGTTCTTCAGGTATTCAGGTCTGACCTTGTCTGGGCCGGGTGCTGTTTGTTTCTTTACCAACGAAATGGCGTGTCGGATTTCGGAAGGGAGAATGTTGGGAACGACATATCCATCCTGTGGACTTTGGTATGTGGGCAGGTGGACATGGCTATCGAAGAGATCTGAGTAGAAGTCGTGGATAATCTTCTCCATTGTCCTTCTGGAAGATGTGATAGATGCATCAGGACGTCAGAGGGCAGTCATCTTGGTCTTGTAGTTGGTGAAGGACAGGCGGGCATTACGAATGCTTCTCCTGGCTTCTGCCACATCTACCAGCACTGCTGCTCTTCTCTCCTTGAGGTCTTCCTTTATCACTTCTCTGCGCTTATTTGTGAGCTCAGACATTTGCTTGAGGTTGCCTGAGGCAAGCGCCAAACAAAGTTGGCGAATAAGCTCAAGAGTTTTCGAAGACAGGCGTTTTTTTGTGGCTATCTCTCTCTTGGCGTTCCTCGCACAATCATGGAGGTGCTGAACCAGTCAATTGTATTCCTTGTCAATGTCGTCAACGATGACATTTTCCCCTGTTGCAGCAATAGTGCCAAAGAGCGCCCAGTTGGTGGTCATTCTGGGAGTTCTCTTCTTAAACTTTGCAGCCTTTTCTTCCCGCTGTGTGAAGTAGAATTTTGCACAAAGGAGACAGTGGTCCGAACTTGTTTGGATCTTTGGGAAAACAGCGACATTGGTCAGGTAAAACCGTCAATTGAATATGATGTGGTCAATTTTGTTGTGGAACCATCCGCCAGGAGACTCCCATGTCCAACGTTTAGATTTGGCCTTCTGGAACTTTGAGTCACCATGGATGGTCTTGGTCGACATGATGAACTCAGACAGTCTCTCACCCTGTTCGTTCCATTCTAGGCCATGGGTCCTGATATGGAGTTCTTCGGCTGATCTTCTCAGTTCTATCTTGGCATTTAAATCACCAACAATTATCTTGTAGAAGGCGTGGTCTTCTTTATACAACTTCTCCAGCTCCATGTAGAACTTCTCAGTTTCCCCTTCTTCATAATTGGATGTTGTTGCATAGACAACAAAGATAGAAACTGCCGGTAGTGAGTTTCTAACTTCAGAACATTGATATCTAATGAGATTATTAAAATTAAGGGATTTAATGCCATATCTTTGTGTGGGGTCTGGGATTTTTGTGTGTTGACTTAGCTTTGTTTTTTCAGCTTTTTATATTAGATAAATTATTGTATATTGCAGTGCTGCTTTAGTTACCAAGAACTTCTTTACCTTTTTTTGGGAAATGAAGTGTTGTATTGTTCCATCAGATTTCAATGATAATCTACCTGTATGATATACACTGTTTGAAAGTCTATTTGTTTCATTGTGCTGGATAATCACATCATCCCCTTCTATCTTATGAGGCTTTATTTGAAAGATTAACCGTGAATTTCATAGGAATTTTTTTATAAGTAATTTGGGATTTTGGCCTAGCTGCTTTCAGGAGAGTACCTCTATCTTTAGCTCTTGCCTTTTAAATTAGAAAGTTTCTTGATATTTGGTTGAGTCTACTCTTATTGAGAACTTGTGAATTTTCTGGACTTGGAAATCTAAGTTGTTCTTCAAACTGGAAAATTTTTCTGTGATTATTGTCACAAAAAATATCTTTCTTCACCTTTCTTCTACTGAGAAAAAGCCCTTTGTTTTTCTATTTTCTTCTTTTGTCCATTATAAATAGTTCCATGCATCATGTCTTCTATTCTGATGTGTTCCACTAATTTTGTTAGTTTGCTCACTATACCATCTTTTGACGTTTTTCTTTTTCTTTTATTTGTGTGGAATTTTAATCTCTTGCTGAAATTTTCGTCTATTATTTCCTTCAATCCAATAAGCAGCTTAATAACTATAATATTGAAATCCACATTCAGCAGAATAGAGAGGTTTTCTGTGCTTGGAATTTCCCCAGAACTTTGTCATTGTCCACTGATTCTTTTTTTTCTTCATTATTTCTGGAGCTGTACTTGCCTCCATGGGTTATGAGCTGAAAGGAAACCCTGGGTGATAAATCAGGTGTGCACCTTACTGATGATCGTCCAGGCATGATTCATGAGCTATCAAGGAGGAAATTAGAAGCAGAAAAGGCTAAGGGACTAACACCTGTGCCTTCAGGCAGGCATCGGAATGCAGAAGAATCCAGGCAACTTTCCTCACCGTGCAAGGTGTAGTAAGGGGTTAGGCAGACTCTACTGTTGAATTCTAATTATCTTTCGGCAATGTCATTTTTTCTTGATTTTTATTTTTTAATTATATATTTTTATTAAGTTGTTGGTGACGATTTGCTAGATTCAATATTCCAACACCAATTCCATCACCATTGCACCTTCCACCACCATTATTTCCAGTTTTCCCAACCACCACTCAAGCCTGCCATAATAGCAGTTCCCAAGAATTTTTATTACTTGTTATGAATAATTCACTAAAATGATCAAATGTTTTCCTTAGAAAAAAGTATGCAAAGGTTGTTGTATCTCGCTATGGAGTCATTAAGCCCCTGTATAAAAGATTTCTAACATGTTGTTACACATTAAGACTTGGGTGTTAACATTTTTTCCAATCGAGATCGACTGCCCCCTACTTTACATCCCATCCAATGTTGTGTGCTTTACCTGGTTTAACAGTGGTGTACAGACATGGCCACATTTGCTCTAGGGATTCTTAAGTTTTAAATGGGGTGATACAGCTGGAGTTAAATTTTTACTGTATGGTGACTTTAGGATCTGGAAGTATATCTGCAGCTTGTTGATCTCTTTTGAGGTTTATTGAATCTCTAAATCATGGCTGGTTAATGAGCTTATGTATCTCAAGAGGCAGCTCATGGGCATAATGCCAGTCTCCTTAAAGGATGGAGAAATGAGGGTAGGTAGCCCATCCCCCACTCCATGAGAGCCTGGAGATTTCAGTCAATAAACCTACATACCTAAAGTTCTTTAACAGATCAATTTCTGGATGAGGTTTGTCTGGAACACTGGAGTTCGGGTTTGATCATTGCACTGATTGTGGAGTGTGGAAGTTATCGTCTACCCAGGCTCTGTTTGGATGGGTGGTTGTTTCACCTGGACCCCATAAGACAGATGAGACTCAGTCTGGCTGAGAAGTCTGTAAGCATCTCTTTCTTTCTTGATTTTTAATGTCCCAATAGTTTTACACTGATTTCTTTTTCACTATAGTATAAGATACTTCATCAAATCTTACTAGTCTTCACATGGGTTGTGTTGGCATCATTATGTTGGCATCATTATGGCATCATTATGTCAAGCAGCTGATTACTGAGACCTTACCCTTTACTTCTGATACAATATCTCAAGTATCCCATTTCACCGTTGCCCATATATCATCTGGTTTGGGTAGTTCTCAAGAATATTACTTTGCACTACTGAAATCAGGAGCATATTGAAGGAAATAAATAAAGAGCAGGAGGAAGTAGGGCTTAGCAGTCAGTGTTTTAAAGTTTCCAAGAACTAAGTGTGAAAGCATCAATGTGAGAGTCTCCTAGAGCTTCATGGGAGGCCTTCCTGCTGATGTATGAGGCAGAGTCAAAAGAAAACACTGTATTTAATGTATTTAATAGCTTGTGATATCTATCTAGTCTTTTTGATATTCTTATATATCCTGGTCAACTGTTCCCCTCTCTTAGTCATGAAGATTCTAATTCAAAATTCCGGGATGTATAAAAGATAAATGTGATCCTGCAGCCATGTCATTCAGAACTGGTTACCAAGCTCTCAGTCAACATTTTCATTTTTCTCAATAGGGGTGGTGATATTCATCAAGTAACTCAGCATCATAGAATCCAATCAAATTCATGCTGGAACTGCACTCAGGAAGACTGGAATTCTGCAATTCTCTTCCATTTGTGGCTCACTATACAGGTCAGAAATGTGAGTTTTGTTTCCCAAATAGAACAAGAGAGAGGAGTTTGGTTTGGGATTATTCACTGTGTTTTACTGATTCTATTACCCTTGTAGACCTATTCAGCTTTTTATAAATGCACATCTTAGAAATATTCCTTCAGTTCCATAGCATATGTTGTAAGATCCCAGAACTCTAAAAGAAATACTTAAAGGAAGAAGAATGCCAACATAGCTGTTTAATGAAACTGGGCAACACTGTAATACTGACAACCCAAAATTAATTTATATGTTCCAGAGAAAGTAAAAACATCATGAAACCTCCTGGGAAGTCAGAAAGAAACAGAATAGGGACCAGTTAACAAAATTCTGTCACTGTTGCTGTCCTCCCGTTGTTCATCAATTTGCTTAAGTGTGCCCAAAAACATCTCCATTGTGACACTTATTACTATGTTTGGCATATCGAATACATCACGGGTAGCTTGCCAGGCTCTGCCGTGCAGGCAAGATACTGTTGGTAGCTTGCCGGTCTCTCTGAAAGGGGTGGAGGAATCAAACCTGGGTCAGTCACGTCGGCCATGTACAAGGCAAATGCCCTACCCGCTGTGCTATCTAACAGAATATAGGAAAGAACATAGGTTGTATTCCTCTGGTTTGAAAATCAGCAAAGGCCTTTGAAACTCATACATATGCTCCATTTCTAATCCTCAGTTTAACAATATCCATGAAATTAGTCTGTAAAATAGGGTGTATCATAAACAATGTTACTACATTCTACGTGGCAATCAATGTTTAGAATAACAATGCCCACAAGATGTCCAGCAGGAAGTAGAATTTTAATAGTATTAATAAAATATCTTGATAGTTAAAAGATTAGAAGACCTAGTCAAATTGAATCTTTAGTATACTATACTTTAGGTCGTTTTGATAACACATCCCAGTGTCATGATTCAGAGTAAGTGAGTGTTACTTTTTCTGCAGTCTTGGCACAGTAGAGACAAACCCTGAAGAGGCCCAACTCAAAGGTGAAAAAAGGAAAGAACTCTTAAAAGTGCTGAGGAAAACAGTGGTTGCCCAAGATTCGATATCTCGAAAAACCTTTCTCATGTCTTACAACAGCTAGAAGAAAAGATCTTAAGCAGCTAAAATCTCACTTACAACATTGCAAGGAAAAAGTGCTCCGGGAAAGTCACTTAACATGTCTCAGTCAAATAGCCTTTAAGATTTACAGGCATCTCAGAGGAAATCTTTAGAAGAAAAGCAGAAGCAGTTAGAACAGAAACTAAAGGAGTTAAGAGACTTGCTGAATGTAGGAAGGCAATAACAAGAAGAGGAAGTCAGGTGAAAAGAGGAAGAACTGAGGCAAGCAATGGAGATGCCCCATGAGATTTGGCGGTACCTGGAAAAGTCATTTAAAGAAGCCATAGAAAACATGTTGAAACAAATCAACCCTACAGAGCAGACACTGCCCCACCAACAAAACCTCCAAGCTACAGAGTTGGTGAGGTCAGCCTCTGGAGGTCTGGCCCTGCAGGGAATTTATAAAACTTGCTTCCAAAGAGACCTGCTGGAAAGGAGAGAGGAGCTACTCAGTGTTCCCAAACAGTTCTCACTCATTGGGCCTGAGCACGGCACATGGATGGAAACAAGGGAATTTACATCTTCTCAAGAAGAATCCATCTTCACACAGAAAATAAAAAGGCTGGGATTCAGTGCATCTGCCATAGGCAAAGGCAGTGGTTGGGGATGTAGTTTGGAAGATGGAATAGATCACAGAAAACATTCAGAATCCATGGAAACCAAGCAATTGCACTCTGAGCACTCTTATTTCTGCTCCACCAAGTTCATGTATGTCCCGCTGGTCTCCTGCCACTTTCCCCATGATCAACTCCAGCTCTCCAAGGCAGCTCTTCAGGAACTGAAGTGCATTGAAAACCTTCTCAGTCACCTTACAGGCCCAGACAGGGTCCATGTTCTGAGGAGCAGGACTGAAAATTTCTTCCAGAGGTTTGGCTCTCATGCTAATCAGGGTCCTCTACACTTGGGAGGAATCTACTGGTGGAAGGCCGTTTCACAAGGTTTCCAAAGTGAGCAGCTGATGAAAGTAAAACAGCAATCAGTAGAAATGCTAAATGCTTACATAAGAGACAGCTTCAGTGACTTTGGCGTGACTGCTGCTGCAGGAGATTTGTCTTCCTCTGATTCCTACACAACCTCTCAGGATACAGCCTCCAAAACCCTCCAAACAAGGATACAATTATCTATAACCCAGACAGGTGGCCCACTAGAAACAAATAACATTATTCAGTGGAAATCTGGCCTCGTTGCCAGTAATCAGACCTGGTGCATCATTGACAGGGGACTTCAATTGGTACCCATTTGGGAAATCATTCTGGCCAACCATGAAAATGATTTTATGAATCATTTTCAGGTAGCTACTTGCCTGATAGAAAACTACAATCACTTGACTAGAATCAATGCTCAGATGCCAGCAGGAGAAGATTTACTGAGTGCTCAAAAGGAGGCTACTGATTTCTTAGAGACTGTGAAATCCTGGGAGGTATCTGAACCAGAAGAACAACTTAAGCAACTGATAGATTTCATGCAAATGTTGACCTTGAAAGAAAAAGGATATAGTTGCTGGATTAGCATATGCCTTGCAGATTTGAGTCTGCAAAATTTTCTGGTAAATACTGTTAATTTGTGCAAAAATTCTTCCACTAACAAAAATCGACTCATTAAGTCTCAGTTGTGCAGCCTTCTGAATCCCCATATCTACAATGTGAAAACCTTTCCCCAGAAACACTCCATTATGAAGTGGCTCTTCCAGTCAGAATCAGAAAAAGAGGACATCAACATCACTCAACTCTCTGAATTAATGAAAGTGCTAAAAAAAACCCAAAGTGTTCTCATGGAAGAAGAGGCCAAATCTCAGTCCCCAGAAGTAGTAGAGGAAGCTCAAAGAAAGGCCACTTATAACGTAAACATGTCCTTTGGCTGTATCTTGAATCACCTGCAAGAAACACGACAGCCAAACATACAGCTCTTGCTGCTTTCCATTGCAGTTTGTGTAGGATATAATGTGGTTAAGAATACTTTTCAGCATCTTCTGGGGAGTGAGGAATTATCTTTCCTGCTGAACGAAATACAAGCTGCCCATGATAAACACCAGGAGCTCCAAAATATTTGCAGCTACAGGGCTCAGGCTTTCCTGGTGCTCACAGCATTGACAGCTACTATTGGAGTCACAGCTGTTTCTCCAGAGGTGAAAGAACAACGCTTGGCACTGATTAGAGAGTACATTGGACATTCCTTGACTGCAGAAGTTGCCCATGTCCTTAACAAATTTGTGACATATGATTGGGAAAACCTGGAAAAAGACCTGAGATTGCTTATAAATGGAGACTGTGATGCCACCATGACTTCAGTGAATATGGATGATGTGAAGAAAGACTTACAGAGTATCCATTATGAAAAGAAGCCATCCAACGAAACACATGACACTGATGAGTACATGTGTGAGGTCCACAAAAATAGAACTCTTCTAGAGTTACTCCAGAGTCTAGACCTAAAAGATAAGTTCCCCAAAAAGATGACCAGGGCTGACTTCCATTTGATCTATAGGATTTCCGTACATAATAACAAACCCAGCAATGAATGGGAACTTCCCTTCCATTTTTTGCAGAAGTTACTAATGCTAGATTATGGACTGAGATACCTGGTTTGTGACAATGGTAAAGAAATAGAGAGTCAAGTTTCTTCAGGCACATTAAATCAGGATAATAAGACTTTTGATCCCTTTGAAGATGATTTTGAAGACAATGAGAATTCCATTCCAGTAACCATTCCCAGACCCAATATCCACCCGATGGACATTCAGATGTCAATTCTTCACTGTGCAGATGATTTTGCAAGACAATATATTTTGGGAAAACTTTCCATTTGTCAGTTTGCCCTCCCCCTTCTTGTGCCCAATCCCTGCAATTCTCAGATTGAATTTTACCTTTGGTCTCTCAGTCAAATTAGGAGAAGCTGGCAGCAAAGAAAGAAATCACCAAATGAGAAAAACAATTTCAATAATCAGCAGATTAGCCAAGTTCCTACTTCCATTATATCTTTTATTAGAGTTGGAAATGGCCTGTCTGCTTCCAAATCTCAGATAATGAATTGCCTTCTCAGTCAACGGAAACATGATATCTTTTTTCACCGACATTGCAAAGGAAGCAGCAAAGACTGTCTCTTGATGGGGGGTGTGGTAGAAATCTGCTGGTTCTGTCCTTCAGGGCAAGAAGAAGACAGGTTTGACAGTTGCTTGACCTTTGCCAATCTTCATGGAAATGCAAAAGAATATCAACAGCAGCTCACATTCCTCCAAGAAGTCTCTTCTGTCCTTGTGATCCTTTTGGTGACTACTGATGACAATGAAGAAAATCGAAAATGTGTCCGTCACCTGTGTCAGTCATCAAAGCCTTTCATCTTGTTATATGACGATAAAGAAAATATGACCAAGATTTCTGGCCAAAGAGTGAAAATTGGGATCAAAAATAGAAATGAAGCAGAATTATCGAAGGAGCTCACAACTGCTATTAAAAACTTGCTAAAATACTCTCACTCCACATGCAGTTTAGAGGACTGTGCCCTTCTTGCTCGTAAACAAGGATTCCTTATCGATGAAGACCAGAGAGACTGCAAGGAAACCAAAGAAAATGCAGGACTTTTAATGAGCCATCTAAAAAAAATGGAAATAACTCAGATGAAGGAAAGCTTATTACCTCTTCAGGGACAACTGTGGCATGATTGGTGCAAAAAAGACAAAGAACTCTATCATCTGAGAGAAAAAGGGAATCGAAGCATTGAACAACACAAGAGTGATACAGAGACAGAGAAACAAAAAATTAGGCAGGAACAATTGGGGAAGGCCTTTCCACCCAACCATTTAATGAAAGAATTCCTTCAATTTTTCCAAACATTTTCAGAAACTAATAAGAGATTATACTTCTTGCAATGGATAACTGTGTTTTTGGACAAACTGACTGCACCATACCTGGAAACCCTTAATGCAGAGAAAAAGAGCCTGTGGTCACAAGCACAAGCAGAAAAGCATAAGTCATCCAAGAGTAATGACTGGAAATCGTTAGTAAATGATATCACAGTAATCTCCAAAAAGATTAATGACTGTAGCTTGGGAATTGAGCAGATTCTCAGGGAAGTTGGTCAGATCTATGAAGTTCTAGAAGAAACTCCCATCTTGAAAACTACGGAGACATATTTACTCTCCCTGCCACAGATCGCTGCAGAGTTGATGATATCTGGGGTTCCCATTGAATTGATGGATGGGGAAGCTTCCTACGTGCCTCTAAAGTGGGTGACAGCTGTTTTCAATAAGGTCATTGAGAAACTTGGAGACAAAAAGCTGTTTGTTCTCTCTGTCCTAGGATTACAGAGTTCAGGGAAATCCACCCTCCTCAATGCTCTTTTTGGGCTACAGTTCACTGTCAGTGCTGGCAGGTGCACCCAGGGAGCCTACATGCAACTCCTCAAGGTGGAGGAGACATTTGCAGAGGAAATCGGATTTGACTTTTTACTTGTTGTGGACACAGAAGGACTTCGGGCCCCAGAACTAAGCAACAAATCCCAAAATCATGACAATGAGTTAGCGACTTTTGTCATTGGGCTTGCCAACTTGACGCTGATCAATATTTTTGGGGAAAACCCATCAGAAATGCAAGATATTCTACAAATAACTGTCCAAGCTTTTCTGAGGATGAAACAAGTGAAAATCTCTCCAAGTTGTCTATTTGTTCATCAAAATGTAGGGGAAGTTACAGCCAAAGATCAAACCATGGAAGGACGAAGGAGGTTGGAGCAGAGACTGGATGAAATGGCAGCCGCAGCAGCTGAACAAGAGCAGTGTTCAGATATAACCTGCTTTAGTGATGTCATAGAATTTGATGTCAGCACTCAAGTCTGCTATTTTTCACATCTCTGGGATGGCAATCCCCCAATGGCCCCTCCTAATCCTCGCTACAGCCACAATGTTCAGGAACTCAAATATCAGATTCTTGAGATTGCCAAACAGAAATCCAGGAGAAGCATCATGAAGATATCAGCTGTAAAAATGAGAATTCAAGATCTGTGGAAAGCCCTGTTGAGTGAGAACTTTATTTTCAGCTTCAGGAACACACAAGAGGTTCTGGCTATGAGCAAACTGGAAACCATGTATAACTGCTGGAATTGGGATTTAAGGCGTCATATACTAGGCTTGCATGACCAACTCATGAACCAGATTCAGAATGGAAAATTGCAGACTCTTGGAACAAACATGCTTGAGAATCAAGTTTCAGAACATTATAACAACATCAAACAAAAAATGGAAAAATATTTTGAGGATGATCCAGACAGTGAAATTCTGATTCAGTGGAAAGTAAGCTTTGAAAATAAGCTAAGACTTCTGAAAGACGCCCTCATTTCAGATGTCCAAAAAAAGGTCAAATTAATGGCCAGTTTCAAAAGAAATCAAGAAGAATTGGATAGCAAAAAATCAAGTTATGAAAAGGAAATAGTGAAAAAAAGTCAACAGTTGGCCTTAACTGTCAAGGGCCGAGAGTTAAGTAGTGAAGAACTGTATCAAATATTTGATCAACTTTGGAAAACCTGGATCTATGATGTAACCTCAAATCATCAACCTACTAAAGAGCCTGACATTGATAAGGATTCTGAACATGTCCTTTTCTGTTATTTCAACAAAGAGAAAAACATAGTGGACATAATTAAGAGTCATTGTGGAGAAAGTTTTCAAATCCAATATGCCAAGCATATCCAAATGAAGAAGAACCATTTCAATTTTACTAAGCTGAAATTAGAGACCCAAGATAAAGAATCCATAAATGTGACTACTGAACGCATAGTCTCAAGATTTAATGAAACTCTTGGCAAAGTTCAGAAGCAGCAGCATGATTACAATTCCCATTATTTTCATGAAATACTTAGAATAATAGATGAGGAGGTTAAATCTGCATTCACCCAGGAAAGGTACACATTTAAAACTGAATATAAAATTGATTTGGCTTTGAGTTTATTTAAAAAAGCTTCAAAAACTTTTAAGGAGATACACAGGGCATTCAAAGAAGCAAATGATCCTGTAAACTATCTGGAAAGGAAGAAAGATGAGTTCTTTATGAGTTTTAAGATATCTTGTGAAGGAGCAACCAACATCAAAACGTCTGTTGATTTTCTGTGGAGCAAACTCATTTCTGCTATCTCTACAACCTTGTGGAGAAGAGTGGTTTGTCAGATGGTTGGACAAATTCGAGGAACCTGTCCTGAATTCAATGTGAACAGGTCTAACCTGGAGAAACATATCCTCATCTCTCTGGCAGAAGAGGAAAACTTTGATAGGTACTGGAAATATCTATGTGATCCACAATCTTTCTTTAGAAGTTTCATTGTGAGCCAGGTTCAAAAATATTACTCAGGTGAAGGAAGTAAAAAAATGAAATCATTTTTGAAACAAAATTTAGATGACATTAAGGAAATCATCCGCTCAGCTATTCATGATTCAACAGAAATAGCCAAAGATAGAAGCAGTAATGAGACTGCATCAGAGTGGTTGAATTTGTTCTGTGATAGTCTAGGAAGTGACTTTGCCTTTCCAAGAAAAGACCTGATAAGCATTGAACACCAAGAGGTAAAAGATCTTGATTTTCTTAAAGATGCCATGAGTGATGCTTTGGATCCTACAATGGAGGACTTAGAACAAAAATGCTTAAATACAAATGAGGAGCATGTGATGCTTGAAATCAGTGACATTCTTTCTGAACATCTCTCTGGCTGCTGGGAAAAATGTCCCTTCTGTGGAACAGTCTGTACAAACACAATCCAGGCACATGATGGAGACCACAGTGCTCCCTTCCACTGTCCAAAGGCTCTAAATGGGTGGAAATGGCGTGCAACAGACCACTTTGCCATTGATTTCTGTACTACTTCAGTAGCAAGTGACTGTCAATTTTATGTGGGAGATAAAACTTTCCCATACAAGACCTATCGACAGGCAGGAGGGGTTTTTGCCACATGGAGCATCACTCCAGACTTCTCCACCCAGCTATACTGGAAATGGTTTGTCTGTCACTTCAGATCAAATCTAGAAGAAAAATACAATTTAAAATTTGAAGGTAGGGGCCAAATCCCTGACGAATGGCACAGCATCACAAAACAGAATGTGCTTGATCACTTGAGAAAACAATAATACTCAGTAATCACCCCCCCAAAACGTTTTAATATTATAATAAAATGTGCAGTAACCAAGCAACTCTCAAATAACTCCTCCTTACAATATCAATCTTTATTATTTTCATGCTTCAGTTTAAAAATCAGAAAAATAGCATTTCAAGAGCTTGATATTACCTTTCAAATAACTGTTTTTCATTTTATCTCATCACTTATAGTACAAAAATAAATTTCTAAAATCATACACATGATAAAATCCATTTAAAATAGGTTTTCCACATGTGAAACTATTGTTCTGCAAAAAGTGTTAATTTGAATACATCTAAAATAAAATTTTTCGAGCAAGTCATTTTATTTATTTTATTTTTAAAAATTTTTATTAGTGAACCATCATGAGGTACAGTTATAGACTTACAAATTTTTGTGCTTGGGTTTCAGTTATACAATGATCAAGTACCCATCCCTCCACCAGTGCCCATTCTCCACCACCACTGATCCCAGTATCCCTCCCACCCCCCATCACCTCCATCCACCCTGTCTCTGTGGCAGAGCATTCCCTTTTATTCTCTCTCTCCTTTTGGGTGCTATGGTTTGCAAAAGAGGGATTGAGTGGCAATCTTGTTCAGTCTATAATCTACTCTTGGCATGCATCTACCATCCTGGGAGGTTCCTCCCAACACTTGATGCTCCCTTCTCTATCTGAGCTGCCCTTTCCCCTAGCATGTGCGGCTGACCTCCAAGCCATGGAGTAAACCTCCTGGTACTTATCTCGGCTATTCTTGGGTGTTAGTCTCCTGTTTTGTGACTTTAGGTTTCCCAGATGAATGCAGTCTTTCTTTGTCTGTCCTGCTCTTTCCAACTCATTTTTCCTAGCATGATACTTTCTATGTAATACCACTTGTATGTAAATTTCATGACTTCATCTTTTCTAACAACTACATAGTACTCCATTGTGTAGATGTACCAAAGTTTCTTTTTTTTAAAGTGCTAAACTTTTATTCTAGTTTTAATTTAAAGTCAAGATCAATCAAAGATAATACATTATTGCTCTCCTTCCCCAAGATTTATATATTTTTTTAATTTTTTTTGTTTCTTTCTTTTTTTTTTACAGTTGTAGATTTACAATTTTTTGTGCTTGGGTTTCGATTATACAATGATCAGATACCCATCCCTCCACCAGTGCCCATTTTCCACCACCATGGATGATATTCCCCCACCCCCATCCCCCATCCCCCCTGCCTCTGTGGCAGGGCAATACCCTGTGTTCTCTCTCTCCTTTTGGGTGTTGCGGTCTGCAAAAGAGGCATTGAGTGGCAAACATGTTCAGTCCATAGTCTACTTTCGACATGCATCTCCCCACCTGGGAGGATCCTCCAAACACTCTTTATTTGGTGCTCCCTTCTCTATCTGAATTGCCCTTTCTTCTCGGATACCCTGCTGGCCTCTAAGTTATGGAGTAATCCTCCTGGTGCTGATCTCAGCTATTCTTGGGTATTAATCTCATACTTTATTACTTTATATCCGCCAGATGAATGCAATCTTTCTATGTCTATCCCTCTCTTTCTGACTCATTTCGCTTAGCATGATACTTTCCATATTGTACCACTTGTATGTGAATTTCATGAATTCATCTTTTCTAACAGCTACATAGTACTCCATTGTGAAGATGTACCAAAGTTTCTTTAACCAGTCATCTGTTCTTGAGCAATCAGCTTTTTTCCAGATTCTAGCTATTGTAATCAGTGCTGCAATGAACAAACAAGTGTCACTTCTACTATACCTTTTTGCCTCTCTGGGATATATTCTCAGGAGTGGTATTGCTGGATCAAATGGGAGTTCAATTTCTAATTTTTTGAGAATCGTCTATATTGTTTTCCAAAAGGACTGAACCAGTCGGCATTCCCACCAGCAGTGAAGGAGGGTCCCTTTCTTGGCACATCCACTCCAACACTGGTTGCTTATGTTCTTTTGGATGTGGGCCAGTCTCTGTGGTGTGAGATGATATCCCATTTTTGTTTTGATCTGCATCTCCCTGATGAGTAATGATGTAGAGCATTTTGTCATGTGCCTTTTCGCCATTCGGATTTCTCCTTTGAGAAAGTTTCTGTTCATTTCATCACCCCATTTTTTGAAGGGGTTGGATGTTTTCTTCCTGTGGAGTTCAACCAACATTTTGTATGTACTTGATATCAACCCCTTGTTGAATTGGTATTGGGTGAATATCCTTTTCCATTCTGTATACTGTCTTTTTATTTTGGTCATTGTTTCCTTTGAGGTACAGAAACTTCTTAGTTTAAGATAGTCCCATTTGTCTATCTCTGTTTTCATTTGCTTGGCCAGTGGCGTGTCATCTTTGAAGATACCATTAGCTTCAATGTCTTGGAGTGTTTTGCCAATCTTATCTTCAGTGTATCTTATGGATTCCGGTCTGATGTTGAGCTCTCGAATCCATTTTGATCTTCCCACTCTTGTACATGGTGTTAAGCAGAGATCTGAGCCCACTTTTTTGCATGTAGCTGTCCAGTTTTTGCCAGCACAATTTGTTAAAGAGGCTTTCCTTACTCCACTTCACATTTCTTGCTCCTTTATCAAATATTAGATGACCATATATTTGAGGGGAGATGTCTGCATATTCAACCCTGTTCCATTTGTCTGAAGCTCTGCTTTTGTTCCAGTGCCATGCTGTTTTAATTATTACTGCTTTGTAGTAGAGTTTGAAGTTAGGGAGGTTGATTCCTCCCATTTTCTTTTTCCCAAGAATTTCTTTAGCTATTCGTGGGGGCTTATTCTTCCATATGAATTTCAGGATTATTTGCTCCATTTCTTTGAAGAATGTCATGGGTATCCTTATAAGGATCGCATTGAATTTGTACAGTGCTTTGGGATGTATTTTCATTTTGACAATGTTAATTCTCCCAATCCTTGAGCAGGGGATATCTTTCCATTTTCTCGTGTCCTCTTTTATTTCTTGAAGTAGCGTTTTGTAGTTTTCTTTGTACAGGTCCTTTACTTCCTTAGTTAAGGTGATTCCTAGGTACTTGATTTTCTGGGGCACAACTGTGAACGGGATTGTTTTTTTCATGTCACTTTCTTCTCTCTCACTATTTGCATATAGGAAAGTCATGGACTTTTGGGCATTGGTTTTATAGCCTGCAACTTTATAAATCTATTTTTCCTAGGAGTTTCTTGGTAGAGGTTTTAGGGTTCTGTAAGTATAGTATCATATCATCTGCGAATAGTGAGAGCTAGATTTCTTTCTTTCCTACCTGGATGCCCTTAACATCTTTTTCTTGCCTAACTGCTATTGCAAGTACTTCCAGTACTATATTGAACAGCAGAGGAGAGAGTGGGCATCCTTTTCTCATCCCTGTTCTTAGAGGGAAGGCTCTCAGTTTTTCCCCATTGAGGATCCCTGCACATGATGGAGACCACAATACTCCCTTCCATCGTCCAGCAGGTCTCATAGGATGGAGATGGTATGGAACACACCAATTTTTTATTCAATTCTGTACTAGTGCAGTAGCAAGTGACTGTAGGTTTCTTGTAAACAATAAATGAATCCCATTTAACACTTATCGACAGGCAGCAGGGGCTTATGCCACATGGAGCATCACACCAGGCTCCTCCAACCAGCCATACTGGAAATGGTTTGTCTGTCACTTCAGATCAAAGCTAGAAGAAAAATACAAGTTAAAATTTGAAGATAGAGGCCAAATCCCTGACACATGGCACAGCATCACAGAACAGAATGTGCTTGATGATTTGAGAAAACAATAATACTACAGAATTACAAAAATAAAGTTTTAGTAGTATAATGTACAGTAATCAAGCTATTTTCAAATAACTCTTCTTTACAGGATCAATCTCTATTATCCTCATGTTTCAGGTAAAAAAATCAGAAAAATATTATTCCAAGAGCAGACTATTATCTTTTAAATCACTGCTTTTCCATTTTATCTCAACTCATAGTACAAAAATAAATTACTAAAAACATAAACATGATAAAATTCTTTTAAATAGATTCCTCATATGTCAAACTATTGTTCTGTAAGCCATGTTAATTTTAATACATCTGAATTATAAAATTTTTCAGAGCAAGCAATTTGAAAACTGTTAATAAAAATAACTATAGATTGCTATAAAATTGAAAAATTGCTTTATATTTATATCAAATAGCATACAGATTTGACTGACACTGCAATTTAACTTTTTGTTTTTGTTTTGTCTTCACATTTGAGAAGTTTCTAACATCTAAATAAAAAAGTCCACAGAAAACTCATGATTCTGAAGAATAAAGTGCAGTGTTATTTAGAAAATATTTTTCAAAAATGTAGAGTGTTACTTAAAAATCATCTATCCTGGAGGGTGTGGTGCCACCAGTGGGTCAACCTGTATGAGGGGGACAATTACATCAGTAGTCTGATGGTGCCTTCAGGTTTCTGGTATCCCAAAATTGCCACTGTGCCTCTGACTGACCCAAACAACTAGGAACCAAGTTTCTTGAGGAATTAAATGGCCAAAATAGGCATTTGGAAGTCATGTCCACAAACCACTTCCAGCTCAGCTATACAGCTCATTTATAGGCCTTGCTTCACAGACCCATAAATAAATCTCAAAAGAAATCAGAGCTGCAATTAATCCTAGACCCACACAAGGCTGAACACAGCAGGGTAAATCACAATGGGGGGTTGGGGAGAAGAACAACCCCTGGCAGCTGATTGCTCCCACATTTGAAAATCGCCACCTCCTTATATCCCTGGAAGCACCTTCAGTTACCCCCATCAACTTTCTCCAGCACCACCATGTAAGTTCTTCTATCAGGCCTGCTTCAGAGACCATAAATAAGTCTCGAAAGAGATCAGAAGCCACAGTTAATCTTGGACCTGCACAAGGCTGAACAGACCGAGGTAAATCACAAGGGGTACGTCAGCCTGGTGCCAGCTCAAGCAGAGCCCTGGCAGCCACGTGTTTCCCCAATCCAAAATCACCACCATGTCCCCATCTGTACTGCACCATCTCAGGACAGATCTCGCTGAGATAGAATCTGCTGAAAATTCAGGTATGCGGGTTTTCTGACTGAAATCTCCAGGCTTTTTCTGGGTCGGGATGAGCTACCTCCCCACACCTCCCTGTACTGCTATAAGCCTCGACAGTCACATCCACACTTCAAAGCTGTCATTCAGTTAAAAAAGCTACT